CCCTTTCGGCCATCCCAGCAGCCAGGCTCTACAGGAGAGGGGAGTTCACTTTCTGCCCTTTCCTGGGTCTGAAGTACTTGTATACATTTGCTTTTCAAGGCTGATTATTCTTTTTTTTTTTTTTTTTTTTTTTTTTGAGTTGGAGTCTCACTCTGTCGTCCAGACTGGAGTGCAATGGCCACTCCCGGCCACCGCAGCCTCAACCTGCTGGGCTCCGGCGATCCTTCCACCTTAGCCGTCCAAGTTGCTGGAATTACAGGCATGTGCTACCACGCCCAGCTGATTTTTTTTTTTTTTGATTTATTGTAGAGATGAGGTCTCGCTGCCCAGGTGGGTCTCGAACCCGCAGGCTCAGGCAATTCACTCATCTCAGCCTCCCAAAGGCACGGGATTACAGGCTGAATCACCGAGCCCGGCTGATTATTCTTTTTACCTCTCTAGTCATTAGCTTTGCTATTTCTATTTCTGGCCTCTTCTGATACTTTTTATCATTATTATTGTTATTAATTTTTTGGCTGTGATCCTGACTTCTATGGATGAAGACTTGACTCAGCCCAAACTACACAGATACCAACATCCTTGATTTCTCTAGCTTCAGACCATCATTTGAGAAGACTTTTTTCATACCTGCCCCATCCTACCTACTTGCATCATGTGTTATGAGAAGAACCCTCAAAATATATAAAACTTTGGTGTGCCAGGATCTTAGAACCATGGGTCTGTTTTTTCTTTTCTTTTTTTTTTTTGAGTCGGAGTCTCCTGTTTCCCAGGCTGGAGTGCAGTGGCATACTCCTGGCCTCCTCAGCCTTGACCTGCTGGGTTCAGGTGATCCTTCCACCGGATGGAATCACATGCGTGCCTCATGCCTGGCTAATTTCTTGATTTATTGTAGAGATGAGATCTCATCAGTTGCCCAGGCTGGTCTCTAATCCCTGGGCTCAGGCAATCCTCTTGCCTCAGGCTCCCAAAGTGCTGGGATTATAGGCATGAGCCACCGCCCAGCTTAATGTTTTTTCATCTTTTCAAATTTTGTCCCAGCCTATTTGCGGTAAACATTGTGGACGTCATAATCTTTTCCTTATCTTTGCTAAGATCCCCACCTGCTGGTGAATATGTAGAGCTGTACTTTTAAGCCTCAAATTAACAAATGTAAGATTAAAGGTGCTGCATATTATTTCTTCACTAATCTCTCTGGTAGCAAAAGTCACATCACGGGATTAGCTGATCCAGGCCATACAGAGCATTATAGACCTTTCCTTATATGCCTAGGACTTATAGGATTGCAGGTTTGTTTTAATTTCCTGACACTGGATCTACTCTGGGAAGCAGCTCTTAGTGATCATTTGCACCTACTGTTGAATCTTGGTGTCTTTGGACATTGTGGAGTGTCCTGTGAATGTTCACTACTGTATTAGAGATCAAAGTGTCATCAGGGTTGGTTCTTTCTGAGGGCTGTGAGGGAGACTCTGTTCTGTTGTAGGCCTCTCCCCATCTGGTGATTTCCAGGCAATCTTTGGCATTGCTTGACTTGTGGAAGCATCACCTCAGCCTCTTCCTTCCTCTTCACACAGTGTTCTTTCTGTGTTTGTCTAAATTTCTCCTTTTTGCAAAGAAGCCAGTCATGTTGGTTTAGGGCCTACCCTAAAGACCTCACTTTAACGAATTACATCTGCAGTGACCCTATTTCTAAATAAATTATATTTTGAGATACTGGGAGTTAGGACTGGAGGGGGAAATTGAGGGAGACATAGTGTAACCTGTGACAACCAATTGTCTTATTATAACTCCAGGCTTCATTTCTGCCATGTTGTTTTTCACAGTTATTTGCTGCTCTTTCCTGCTGGACAATTAGATTTCCTTGCCCTGCCAGCCGCGGTGGCTCATACCTATAATACCAGCACTTTTTGGAAGCCAAGGCGAGAGAATTGCCTGGGTCCAAGCACTTGAGGCCAGCCTGGGCAACTTGGCTAGACCATCTCCACAATAAATAAAAAAATTAGCCAGGCGTGGTAGCGTGTGCCTGTAGTTCCAGCTACTTGGAAGGATGAGGCAGAAGGATTGCCTAAGCCTAGCAGGTCAAGGCTGCTCCGGTCTGGGTGACAGATTGAGACTCCAACTAAAAAAAAAAAGCAATCGTCTCACCTCAGCCTCCCAAAGTGCTGGGATTATAGGCATGAGCTACCATGCCCAGCCAAAGCCACGTTTTTCAAGAACCTATGTGATGTCATTGAGAACTTAACTGTACTGTCCTTTAGTGAAAGCACATAAGAGGAGCACCTGACCTTGACTTGTGTAATCAGAGAAGACTTTCTGGAGGAAGTGAAGTCATATTTGAAAACTGTGGGTGACAGATAGAATAGGAGTTAACCAAGTACAGGGACAGGGTGGTGGGAACTAGGGGGTGGTCAGACTGAGTGGAAAACGTGCAACCTCAACAAAGGTGCTATCTCCCCACCCCAGGAGAAAATGGGTGCTTGGCAGGTGAAATAAACTTAGCTATTACAATTCTTTGTAGCCATCCAAAACTCAATCCTTTCTGACAAAATCTTATTATTCTTTAATATTTAATTGAGGGGAGGGGCGATGATTAAGAAAAAATGCCTAAGAAGTCTCCTGGGAGGTGAGAGGCAGTGATGAGAAAGAAACTGAGAAACGTTAGTATAGAAAGAGGTAGCGTGTACCGGTAGTCCCAGCTCTCGAGAGGCTAACGCAGGAGGATCACTTGATCCTAGGAGTTGGAAGTTGCAATGAACTATGATCACACCTTTGCTCTGCATCCTGGGCAACAGAGTGAGGCCTTGTCTCTAAAAAAAAAAATAAGAAGAATTAAAATTTTTTAAAAATAGTTTTAAACAAAATTTTTAAAAAAGAAGCAGAGCTTTTGGGCAGAGGAAAGATCACCTATGAAAAGCTGCGAAAGTGAGAGGAATGTGGACTATTCATAAAAGTAGAAGTCTTGAGCCATAGAGTGGGAAGGGAGAGAGGCAAAGAGAGCAGTAAGGGAAGAGACTGGTCTAGATAGAAATGTTTGGGTCGAGGCTGCAGTGGCCAGGAGCGTGCCACCGCACTCCCGTCTGGGTTACAGAGTGAGACTCCAACTCAAAAAAAAAAAAGAAATGTTAAAAGAAAATTAAATCTGAAAATGCGTTTTGACCTCAATTACCTAAGTAATTTTAAGTAAAATTGAACTTTGTCTAAATTACCTGCTGTACACCCTGCTTTTTAATATAAGAAACTGTCCTTTGTGTTTGAGGCCACATACTGATGAATCGTTAAGCTTTAAACATTGTTGTAAAGATAGCAAAGGCCATTCACAGGATATCTGCTTCTGTCGATCTTACTGGGAAGTTTTACTTTTACGATTGTATGCTCTAGAATAGCCTCGTGTTCAGGTGGATACTTAATTATAATGCTATTCCAGAAGGCACTTTAACCTCTGGAGAATTTTCATGTGATTTACTTCATTGGAGTTTCAAAGATTAAAAATCTGAGACTAAAAAAGGTATTTTTCTTGGTCCTATTATTGGGAGTAAAATGAGAACAATGGTCTATTTAATAACCATTATCATTATCTTTTTCCCAGATTGAATTAAAATTACCTTAATATTCTATTAAAAAATTCTTTACAAAAATGCTGTCAATCTTTTTTTATTTCCACCAGGTTGTTAACAATGAACTCAAAGCTAATTCAATACTTTTGAGAGATAGTATAAACTTAATTTTAGAATCTAAGAACTAAAAATTTGCATGCTATGTGATGAATTTAACTTCTTGTATTTTTCCACCACAGTCTTAACTTGCTTGGTGTGAGTAGACCTAATCTAAACTTCTAATATAATTTTTTTCTTTTTTGAGTCAGAGTCTCACTCTGTTACCCAGGCAGTTGCCCAGGCTGGCCCACATTCACGGCCACCACGTCCTCGACCTGCTGTGCTCAGGTGATTCTTTCACCTCAGTCTTCCAGGTAGCTGGAACTACAAGCATGCAGCACCACACCCAGCTAATTTTTTGATTTATTATAGAGAAGAGGTCTCACCATGTGGTCTCGAAACCCTGAACTCAGGCAGTCCTTTCATCTCCACCTCCCAAAGTGCTGGGATTACAGGCTTGAGCCACCTCATCCAGCTCTAATACACTTGTCTTTTTTTTCTTTTTTCTTTTTTTTTTTTGAGTCAGAATCTCACCCTTCGTCCAGGCTGGAGTTCAGTGGCATGCTCGTGGCCATCCCAGCATTGACCCGCTGGGCTCAGACAATCCTTCCCTGTCAGCCTTCCAAGTAGCTGGAACTATAGGCACGCGCTACCACACCCTGCTAATTTTTTGATGTATTGTAGAGATGAGGTCTCACCAAGTTGCCCAGGCTATTCTCAAACCCCTGAGCTCAGGCAATCCTCTCGCCTCAGCCTCCCAAAGTACTGGGATTACAGGCTTGAGCCACCATGCCCAGCCATCTAATATACTTCTAAGAGTCATTTTTAAGCCATTAGTTGAATGTTTCCTGTATGCCACACAATGAATTTACTTGTGAAACTCTTAATACATCTTACCTAAAATAATCTTCAGAGCATGGCTCAAGATTTGCTTTAGTGAGGGGAGTAAAAGTCTATTTATTCAACAAGGTTATATCACTTAGTAACAAAAGAGCAGGAGGTAACCATTCCCCCTCAATTATGTTTTTTTAAAGCTGACTTTTTTTTAAGTGTTACTGTCTTTGTAAGTACATTTTAGACCTTTAAATTTATTAACTTTCTAGGCTAGAATGACACTTTTTTGTCCTTAGGTAAGAAGATGAACATCTGAGGTTCATTTTAGAAAACATTTCTTTGGGCAGTAGGTGGGAGATGGGTTTCTCTTCAGAATTTTGTATTGGAGTCTAGGATTTATCTTTATGGGACTATTTATATGGTGACAACAGGGAAAGGGGAAATTACTGTGTTTTACTGGCATTTTTTTAATTTTGATAAAGCAATTAAAACCCTTCTAATATTTATATCTTCCAGAAAATGTCATTGAAATTCACAAATGCAAAACGAATCGAAGGACTTGATAGTAATGTATGGTGAGTATCTTAAAATAAACAGTAATAATTTGGTGAGGCTTTTCTGCATATTTTTATATCCTGAGCTGGGAGTTTTTAAGCCTCACCCATAGTCCATAGATAAATCCACTCATTTATTTCATCCATTACAAGGAAATAGAAGGAAGTTAGCAATTCATAGACTGAGTTGTTCATTTAGCACATGTGCTGGGCACTCTACATATGATAGAGAAAGGGACAGATGTGGTTGATGCCCTCATGGAACTAACCTTTCAATCCATGACCTTTTTTTTTTTTTTTTTTTGAGTTGGAGTCTCACTTTCTTGCCCAGACTGGAGTGCAGTGGTTGCAGTGGAGTGCAGCCACCATACCCTCGACCTGCTGGGCTCCGGCGATCCTTCCGCTCAGCCTTCCAAGTAGCTGGAACTACAGGCGCGTGCTACCACACCTGGCTAATTTTTTGATTTATTGTAGAGATGAGGTTCTCACCAAGTTGCCCAGGTTGGTCTTGAACCCGCGGGCTCAGGCAATCCACTCACCTCAGCCTCCCAAGGCACGGGATTACAGGCTGAGCCATCGAACCCGGCTGTCTTTCTTTTTTCACGGGCGTGCAGGCTACGGATCCATCTTTCTTTTTTTCAATCGGGGTCTCAGTCTTGCCCAGGCTGGAGTACAGTGGCCAGCTCACAGTCACCGCAACCTCAATCTGCTGGGCTCAGATGATCCTTCCACGTCAGCTTTCCAACTAGCTGGAACTACAGGCATGCACCACCATACCCAGCTAACTTTTTGGTTTATTGTAGAGACAAGTTCTCAACAAGTTGCCCGGGCTGGTCTCAAACCCCTGGGCTCAGGCATTCCTCTTGTCTCCGCCTTTCAAAGTGCTGGGAGTACAGGTGTGAGCAACCGTGCACTGCAGAGCTTTTATTATTTCTAACCAGCAGCAACTGAAATAGTTGAGGAAAAAATATATATGGCTAAAATACGAGTAGCATGGAGTTGAAGTTTGTAAGGAACATTAGATTGACAAATTCAGCCATCATTTTATTAGATAAATTCATATTGTGAGTATAAATTTTTGTTGGGGGTTCTCTTTTTATCCACTGATAGGACTAAACTAGGTTTTATTTTTCAGTTTTATAATAAGACCATGCGATATAAAACGCAAACTTTGGTTGGGCACAGTGACTCAGGCCTGTAATCCCAGTACTTTGGGAGGCCAAGGTGAGAGGATTGACTGAGCCCACAGGTTTGACGCCTGCCTGGGCAACTTGGCAAGACCTCATCTCTGCAATTAATCAAAAAATTAGCCGAGCGTGGTCACACACACCTGTAGTTCTGGCTACTTGGAAGGCTGAGGCGGAAGGATCGCCAGAGCCCAGCAGGCCAACGTGGGGGTGGCTGTGAGCATGCCACTGCACTCCAGCCTGGGCAGTGGAGTGAGTGAGACGCAAAACAAACAAACTTTGTAATTATAGTACTTAATTTAAGTTTCTTTTTTAATCTTAGGATTGAATTTACCAAGTTGGCTGCAGACCCTTCTGTTGTGAATCTTGGCCAAGGTTTTCCAGATATATCCCCTCCTAAATATGTAAAAGAAGAATTATCAAAGATTGCAGCAGTTGATAGCCTGAATCAGTATACTCGGGGCTTTGTAAGTATATCAGGACCATGTGGAGCATGAGCTTATACTTCACGTGGTAATGTGTGTGTGTACTTCTACCACACATTTCAATTGACTTTCTGGGACCAACTGTCCCAACCTGGTAACCAGAGAAACTCCCACCCTTGCCCTTATGTCCTAGGGTGAGCCTTCACCTACTTCTAGAATCTCCATAGTCCTGATTTAGCCCTTACTTTTGTTCCAAAATGGAATCTTAGGGCAACAGGGAAGGAAGAATGTTCTCTTGAGACATCTCCCTCCGTCTCTCTTTTTTTTTTTTAATTTTAGGTTCAAGGGATACCTGTGCGTGTTTGTTACATAGGTCTGTTGCATGATGATGAGCCCACCCCTAGGTGGTGAGCATGGTACCTGATGGGTGTTTTGTTTTGTTTTGTTTTGTTTTGTTTTGTATTTTAGTTTAAAGATGGTAACCAGAGGGTACAATTCAGGATTAGGCATACAAGTGGACATCATATAGGTGAAATTTGGGCCTTCTAATGGGTAGTTTTTTTAACTCTTATTTCCCCTCTGTCCCTCCCCTTCCTTGGTTGTCCCCAGTGTCTGTTGTTCCCATCCTTGTGTGCCTATGTGTGCCCAGTGTTTAGTGCCCACTTATGAGTGAGAGCATGTAGTTTTCAGTTTTCCTTTTCTGCGATAGTTCTTTTAGAATGCTGGCCTCCATGTTGCTGCCAATGACTTCATCTGGTCTACCACTGATGGGCACCTGGGTTGGTTCCATGTTTTTGCTATTGTGAATAGTGCTATAATAAACAAACAAGTACAGGTGTCTTTTTGGTGAAGCAAGTTATCCTCTTTTGGGTATACACCCAGAAGTGGGATAACAACAGTGTATGAGCATTCCCTTTTCTCGATAGCCTTGCCAAAATCTGTGGTTTTTTGATTTTTTAGTCATAGCCATCCTGACTAGTGTGAGTTAATATCTCCTTGTAGTTTTGGTTTGCATTTCTCTGATGATTAGTAAAGTTGAACATTTTTTCATATGTTTGTTGACCTTTTGTATGTCTGCCTTTGAGAAGTACCTGTTCATGTCCTTTGCCCACTTTGTTTTTTTTTTTTTTTGAATCAGAGCCTCACTGTTCCCCAGGCTGGAGTGCAGTGGCACGCTCATACCGCAGCCTCGACCTGCTGGGCTCAGGCGATCCTTCCACCTCAGCCTTCCAAGTAGCTGGAACTACAAGCACATGCTACCACGCCCAGCTAATGTTTTGATTTAATGTAGAGATGAGGTCTCACCAAGTTGCCCAGGCTGTTCATGAACCCGTGGGCTCAGGCAGTCCCCTCACCTTGGCCTCCCAAAGTACTGGGATTACAGACTTGAGCCACTGCACCCAGCCTATTTCTGGGTTCTTTATTCAGTTCCCTTGTTCTATGTGTCTATTTTTGTACAAGACATGTTTCCTTTTATCTCATTAACGCTTATTCAGCCTCAACGCTGACCCCTTAATTAATATACTCTGTTTCCAATTAGTTGCTCTCTTTCTGTCTACCCTAGCTCAGCTTCCATTCATCTGGGATGAAATGCCAAGAACATCTAGAGAATTCCTCTATTCAAATGTGCTTTTGAACTGTAGGCTTATATCTGTTAGTCAGTTATAATATGACTGAGCATTTATCTTCCTTTTATAATATTGTGGAAATGGAGAGGGGATGATATAGAAAGAAGTGTATTTATTTTTTGTCCTTTATATTAGCCTAACTAAAAATTCATGCTAGGGCTTTGCTTTGGGAAGAGAAGGACAGAAAAAAAGCAGTAAGATTGACATGTGTCACAGAATTTGACACAGGTGGGTTTCCTTGCTATCCATAGACTCTCACTCCCTGGCCCACCCTCAGACCCTCATCATAGACCTATTTATTCCACATACCCCCCTCCCTGGCCTAGTCAAATCCATAATGAAAGGCAAGAAATGAACACACAATAGTGAAAATTAATGAAACCAAAAGCCGGTTCTTTGAAAAGATCAATAAGTAAAAGTTTAGCAAGATTGATCAATAAAAAAGAAAAACACAAAGTACCATATGAGAAATGAAAGAAGGGATGTCATCACATTGACAACTTGGTTGAAATTATTTGAAATATACAAAACTGATGCAAAGACAAATAGAAAACCTTACTAGCCCCATGTCAGTGAAAGAAAATAATTTTTTTTTTTTATGTATTGTAGAGACAAGGTCTCGTCAAGTTGCCCGGGCTGGTCTTGAACCTGCAGGCTCAGGCAAACCTCAATACCCAAATGGCTTATTGGTGAATTCTATCAAACATTTAAAGGCAAAGTAATATCAATTCCACACAAACCTATTCAGAAAATAGAGTAAAATGAAAAACTTTTACTTAATGATCTACTCTTTTAGTCTGAAATATTTAATGGTTTTTGTCTGGCTTTTTTTGTCAGGGTTTTTGCATCAGGGTAATGCTGATCTCATAAAATTAGTTTCAGCATTACCCTGATACAAAAACCCTGATTTAAAAAAAAAAAGTGTGGCCAGGCTCGGTGGCTCAGCCTGTAATCCCAGCACTTTGGGAGGCCAAGGTGAGTGGATTGCCTGAGCCCACGGGTTCGAGATCTGCCTGGGCAACTTGGTGAGACCTCATCTCTACAATAAATCAAAAATTAGCCAGGCATGATAGCGCTTGCCTGTAGTTCCAGCTACCTGGAAGGCTGAGGCAGAAGGATAGCTGGATCCCAGCAGATCGAGGCTGCAGTAGCTGGGAGTGGCCACGGCACTCCAGTCTGGGTGACAGAGTGAGACTCCAACTCAAAAAAAAGAAAAAAGAAATAAAGAAAACTCCAAGCCAATATCTCTCATGAACATGGAAACAAAAATCCTGAAATTTTAGCAAGTCAAATCCAGGTATGTGTGTTTGTTTGCATAGATACATAAAAATGGTTTAATATTTAAAAATCAGTCACTGAAATGTAGCATATTAGCAGAGTAAAAAAAGAAAAACCATATGATCATCTTAGTATATATAGGAAATGCATCAGACAAAATTCAACCCTCATATAATAAAAACTTTTAGTTGGGAATAGAATGGAGCTTTCTCAATCTGATAAAGGGAATCTATGAGGAAGCTACAGATTACACCCATAATCCACATAATGCACAAAGATTGGGTACGTAGCAAGGATGTCCACTGTCACCATTGTTATTCAGCAGTGTACTAGAACCCTATGAGACATAAAGGTATATTGGTTAGAAAGAAAAAAATTAAAACCCTCATTTGCAGAAAAAATAATCATGCACATAGACTATCCTAAGGAATTCTACTATATATAGTTTATTATATATGTATATATTCTATATTAGTTATATTCTATAATAATTGGAGCAAGGCCACAGGATACAAGGCCAATATATAAAAATCAATTGTATTTCTAAAAATGAACAATTAGAAAGTAAATTTTTTTTAAATTTCATTTAGATAACATCCATAAATACAAAACATTTGCAACTAAATTTTTTAAAACATGTGCAAGATCTGTTCAATGAAAACTATAGAACATTACCAAGAGAAGTAAGGCAACACCTCAATAAATGGAGGGATAAATGATATTCTTGGATTGGGAAACTAAATATGGTTAATATGTCAGTTCTCCCCAAATTGATCTGTGGCAGGGTTTGGCAAGCTACGGCTTGTAGGCTAAAATCTGACCCACTCATTTATAAACAAAGTTTTATTAGAACACAACTATGGCCAGGCTCGGTGGCTCAGCCTGTAATCCCATGCTTTTGGGAGGCTGAGGTGAATGGATTGCCTGAGCCTGTGGGTTCGAGACCTACCTGGGCAACTTGGCGAGACCTCATCTCTACAGTAAATCAAAAAATTAGCCAGGCGTGGTAGTGCGCGCCTGTAGTTCCAGCTACTTGGAAGGCTGAGGCGGAAGGATCGCCAGAGCCCAGCAGGTCGAGGCTGCAGTGGCCAGGAGCGTGCCACTGCCCTCCAGCTTGGGCAACAGAGTGAGACTCCGACTCAAAAAAAAAAAAAACACAACTATGCACACTTACTTGTTTTCCAGTTTTTGTTTTCCAGTTTTCGTAAATCTCTGGTCACTTATGGCAGATGAGGATGGGTTTATACTGAGGAGCAATTGTAATTGTATATATCTTTGCCTAGTTTTATTTATTATATGAAGCATAAATTATTTTTATAATTAAAAATTTTAAAAAACACAAACCCCCCTTTTTTTTAAGATGTGGGGTAGGCTGGGCACAGTGGCTCACACCTGTAATCCCAGCACTTTGGGAGGCAGAGGTGAGAGAATTGCCTGAGCCCATGGATTTGAGACCAGCCTAGGGAACATGGCGAGACCTTGTCTCTACAATCAATCAAAAAATTATCTGGATGTGGTGGCGCACGCCTGTAGTTCCCACTACTTGGAAGGTTGAAGTGGAAGGAACGCCTGAGCCCAGCAGGTCAAGGCTGTGGTGGCCGTGAGCAGCATGCCACTGCATTACAGCCTGGGTGACAAAATAAGACTCCAACTAAAAAAAAACGATGTGGGATACAATTCGGTATTAGGTATACAAGTGGCCCTCATACAGGTGAAAACCCTGATTATTTTAAGGAAACATTGTAAAGTTTATATAGTTGCTTTTCAGACTACCTTTTGCTAGAATTTGTTAAACCTGCTATTACAAGTGGGGACCCCCAAAAAACAGAATTTATTTATAAAATTGTGTATCTATTCTCATGTGTTTACACTTAGTAACCTTTAAAATGCTCTCCGTTTGATGTAATACATCTATCAAGATGCTTTTTCCACTGCTCAAAACAGTTTTTCAACTTGTCGACTTTGATGCCTTTTAGTGCTTCTGCCATTTTTTGTTTCACCTCGTCCACATTGGCCAAACATTTCCCTCTGAGGACTTTTTTTATCTGGAGACACAAAAAGTTGCTTGGAGAGAAATCTGGTGAATACAGAGGGTAAGGCACAGTATCCATGCCTTTTTTGGTCAAAAACTGCTGAACATTCAGTAAACAAAATTTCACGCCACACGTTGTTTTTCTAAATCACCCATAATGAAATGGGCAAATGAGTTGACAGACTCTCTAAAAGAAAAATTCTGTGAAACCGAACACAGCCTCCCACAACAACGCTAGCTATTACACTGATGCTGACAGGTTTCTAGAACACTAAGCTAGTGGGAGAATTATATAAAACAAGGGGCCTGCCCTCCAAAAAATAATTCTGATTTTGGGGTCCCCTTTGTTTTCCTCCATAGCCCAAAGTGTGTTCAAACAAAGGCATATGACCCACACTTGCACTCTTACTTGCAAGCGGTAGAAAATCAGGGTGGTTCCTGAAAAGTAAAGAGTGGAAGTCAATGCTGTTCAGATAAAAATAAGAAATATTGACTTCACTACCAAATAAGACAAGGATAGGAGAAGGGAAAGAAAAGAAAGCAAAGGAGAGAAGGGAGAGAACATAGAAGACAAGAATTGAGGGAGAGCCAGTCCACGAGTCTTCAAACTCCCTGCATGTCTCAAACTTTGTACATTGATTTATTGATTGATTGACTGAGTTGTAGTCTCACTCTGTCGCCCAGGCTGGAGTGCAGTGGCACACTCACAGCCATCGCAACCTCGACCCACTGGGCTCAGGCGATCCTTCTACCTCAGCCTTCCAGGTAGCTGGAACCACAGGCATGTGCTACCATATCTGGCTAATTTTTTGTTTTGTTGTAGAGACAAGGTCTTGCCATGTTGCTCAGGCTGGTCTAGAACCCCTGAGCTCAGGTAATTCTTTGGCCTCCACCTCCCAAAGTGCTGGGATTATAGGCACGAGCCACTGCGCTCTGCTTGGACTTTGTGCATTTATAATCCCTTCACTTCTCTTATGAAAGTAGTTATCTTAGAGAGCTGCTACTCTCTTAGCTGTCAACATGAGGAATGCTATACTTCCTCCAACATTTGCCGTTGTCACCACCAGTGTGTCTTTGGTGAGTTTGTTTTTGCCCTCTCTCCCCAGGCCTTTGGTTGATATAACCCTCTTTCCAGCATTTGGAAAGCGTCCGAGAAGGGATTTTTTTGTTTTGTTTTTTTACTTATTTTAACTGAGAAACAAATCACCTCTATTCAGTATGATTTAATTGCTGTCAAAAATATATGAGGGGTTCATTTTTATTCAAAGCAGACACTTTGAAATTATATATTCACAAACCCTCCATTTTTGTAGGAAGTCTTAATCATTAGCAAGTTATTATGCATTCACATAGGAAACCTCTGAATGTAGGAATTTTTTTTAATTATCATTAAAAATATAAATTTATTTGCATAATTATAAACAGCAAACTCAAATTTTTAAAAGTCTTACATCTTAGAGCCATAGTACCTTAAACAAGTAGGTTCCATAATCAGATTCAAAATTTTTTTTCTTAATTTTTGTCCCACAGGGCCATCCATCACTTGTGAAAGCTCTATCCTGCCTGTATGAAAAGATTTATCAAAATAAAATTGATCCAAATAAAGAAATCCTTGTGACAGTAGGAGCATATGGATCTCTTTTTAATGCTATTCAAGGATTAATTGATGAGGGGGATGAAGTAAGTATATTAACATTATCATATTATATTCCTATATTAATCATTATCATTTGTCCTGCCTTTGAATCTTTTACTTATTTTACATGCTTTTTTATTTTTAATTATGTTTGAAGTCTAATGCATTAGCAGTAATGTTCACAAACCTTAAATGTACAACTGGATCAATTTCTATGTAACTACAACCCAAATGAAGATACAGTACATTTCCAGCACTCCAAAAAGCTCCTTTATACCTCTTTCTTATCTGTATTCTCCCCGAGGTAATGACTCTTCTGTCTTCTATCACCATAAGTTCATTTTGGCTGCTCTTGATCATCGTATGTGATCTTGGGTCTGGTTCCCTTCATTCATAATTGTGCTCGTGAGATTCATCCGTTTTGTTGCATGTGGTTCATTCTTTTTTTTTTAAAGCCTATTTAGATAAGGGCAGGTAGAAGGGGATAGCACTGATGAGGAAAAAGAATCTTTTGTTTTCATCGCTAAAATAACCTTTAGTCTGAACTCAGTGTACAAGATTAACCTATGCCTTTTTGAGCCCAGTATGGTATTAGCAGTACAGTGTGATGATACATAACAGGAAGGTTGAACGATTTCTGCTTCTTAGTACTGTGATGTAAGACCAACTTTGGCACCAACCTTAGTCATCTCTATCTCTACTTCCTTATTATCATTTCAATATTCCTACTTTTTTTTTTTTTTTTGAGTTGGAGTCTCACTCTGTCGCCCAGACTGGAGTGCAGTGGCCACTCCCGGCCACCGCAGCCTCGACCTGCTGAGCTCTGGCGATCCTTCCCCCTCGGCCTTCCAAGTAGCTGGAACTACAGGCGCGCACTACCACGCCCGGCTAATTTTTGACATTGTAGAGATGAGGTCTCACCAAGTTGCCCAGGTGGGTCTCGAACCCGCGGGCTCAGGCAATTCACTCACCTCAGCCTCCCAAAGGTGCAGGATTACAGGCTGAGCCACTGAGCCCGGCCAGTATCCCTACTTTAATGTTTGTTGACCTCTTTCATTTATTCAGAAATTACTGAGGATCTCTTATATACTAGGCACTATGAAAGGATTTTTAAAATAACTTCCATAAGGAAGCAGTTTCTTGTCTAGCAGAAGAAATAGACTTGCAAATGGATTAAGAGGAATGTTGTACTGCTGGGTGTGGCTTTTGCCTGTTGTCTCAGCACCTCAGTCTGGGCAATATAATAGGACCATGTCTCTTAAAAAAAAAGTTTTTTAATTAAAAAAAAAAGAGGAATGCTGTAAATTTAGTCAGTAGTGAAGAATGCATAATTTATGGTAGTAATAAAAGGAACAAACAGTTGGTGTAGTGACTCATGCAGGTCTGGAAAACTCTAGAGAGGCGTTGCTTAAGCTGGGTCTGAAGAATAAATGTTTATCCTAATCTATACTTTATTTAAATTCTAATATCCCTTTATCATCAACTTTTATAAAAGATACCACTCTCTTCCTTGTGTTATGTTATTCTTTTTTTTTTTTTTGAGTTGTCGCCCGGGCTAGAGTGCAGTGGCATGCTGCTCATGGCCACCACACCCTTGACCTGCTGGGCTCAGGCAATCCTTCCACCTCAGCCTTCCAAGTGGCTGGAATAACAGGCGTATACCATCACACCCAGCTAATATTTGTGATTTATTGTAGAGACGAGGTCTCACCATGTTTCTCAGGCTGGTCTTGAACCCCCAGGCTCAGGCAATCTTCTTGCCTTGGCCTACCAAAGTGCTGGGATTACCAGCTGTGCCACCACATCCGGCCATGTTATTCTTTTACATCTTTAATTCACTCGACTATGCCTGACAGTAAGCTATTAAGAAAGTACACAGTTTCATATACATACTCTCCTTTAATCCTTTAACATAGGGCAGTTTTGTCTCACACGTTGATGTTCATCCTCCATTCCTCCCTCCTGCATTCTGTTGGAGTAGCCCAAGGCAAGCCCTTGGCTTGCTTTTCTCTGTTCTTTCTTCCCTGATCACTTTATCTCATATTTTGAAACCACGTACATGTTACTTTCTATCATCCTAACCTGTTTTATTTTCTTCATAGCATTTGTTGCTATCTAAAATTATATAATGTCTTGTTTTCCCGTTCATTACATCTCCCTCAGTAGGATGTAAGTTCCAGAAGAACTTGTTCATTGCTGCACTGCCATTACCTAACATAGCGAGGGCTCAATAAATACTCTTGAAACAAAGAGGGAATTATTCCCATCATAAAAATAAAGGAATTAAGGTGAAAAGTATCAGGTATACTCTTCCCACTCTACTGCACTGCCTCCCCAGTTTATTTTCCTTTACTGAGCTCTCACTTTTTGGGGGCGCTATGTTTCCCGCCAGGGTTAAAAAGATAGGTCATCTTAGTCCCTGAAAATTTCACAAATGAATAAGGACCCTACAGTCCACTCGAGGGAAAGTTCTGATTTTGGTTCATTTCTTTACCCTACACAGTACCCACCACCAAACCTATCTCATTTCACTTAGTGGGCTCTCAGTTTGAATCGAAAGACTAGTACAACAACTGGGCTTTTATAATGTATGACTAGATAGAAAGGCTTTAAACAGGTGTTTGCACCTTAAGAAATATAAACAGTAAAAAGTAGACATTTAAAACAATAATTAAACTTAACTAATGAAAAGTTAAGTAAAACAACTTAGTATAGACTCATAAAATTGTAAATTGTTATCAAATTTTTCAAAAGTAATTTGGCTATCTATATGTATAAAACACCATAAAAGTGTTTATACCCTTTTACCTAGAGATAGTAATCATTTGAATTATTACACGCTACATGTTATTCAACCAGCTATTTTTTGTTTTGTTTTTTTGAGTCAGAGTCTAACTCTGTCGCCCAGGCTGGAGTACAGTGGCATGCTCCCTGCCACTGCAGCCTCAATCTGCTGGGCTCAGGTGATCCTTCTACCTCAGCCTTTCAAGTAGCTGAAACTACAGGCAGCACCACTATGCCTGGCTAATTTTTATTTATTGTAGAGATGAGGTCTCACCAAGATGCTCAGGCTGATCTCAAACCTGTAGGCTCAGGCAATCCTCTCACCTCAATCCCCCAAAGTGCTTGGATTATAGGTGTGAGCCACCATGCCCAGCCCAATAAGCTATTTTAAAAAAGAGAATCTACACACTCACAAATTGACATATCACTGTTAATTATACAAGCAAAAGATAAGAAAATTATTCTAGAAATCAGTAGACCATCATATAGCCATTAAAATAAATATAAAAATTGTATAACATGGACTTGTCGTGAAATGGTGCTTAGATTTTAAAAAGATAGAAAAAGAATGTATATGAAGATTATAAATTATATGTTTGAGCATTCCTTTACAGAAAACCAAAAGGTCAGGGATGGTAGATCAGGTTGGTCAAGTGGGGTTGGGATAACAACTAGACTGGTTGGATGCACCCACTGACCTGAAAGCTCAGCGACGAGTGATTGAGAGAGAGAATGGAGGGGCAAGGGGATGGGAATATGTCCAAGGAGCAAGAAAAACAGACAGAATCCAGATATGAGGTACCTGGAGGGAGGTTGTGGGTATCAGACAAGAGCAATAGCTTCCTTACTGGCCTCTCTGCATGCACTCTTTGTTTTGGAATCTCTTTGAGAAAAGAGAAACATCTTTACTCTCAGGATGATAACCTTACATTAGCACTTCATACCAGAGAGCATTACAGTGTTCTCTTTCCTTACAGGCTGCTTCTCTCACTGTCTGATATATCACATATATCCTAGATTTTATCATTTGAAATATAAAGGCTTACTTAATTAATGGCTTTGGCTGGAACATCCCTTTTAGAATACGATGGATTCTTTCTTCAGATAAATCTTCCTATGCACATATAAAATTTTACATTCATTTACAAATGCCCCCACTGCAGCCTCATCCATAGATCTCCCTGAGATGCCAAGGACTCCAATTAAGACTCCCTGGACAGCTGGGCTCATTGGCTCAGCCTGTAATCCCACACCTTGGGAAGCTGAGGTGAGTGGATTGCCTGAAACCGCGGGTTCGAGACCCGCCTGGGCAACTTGGCGAGACCTCATCTCTACAATAAATCAAAAAATTAGCCGGGCGTGATAGCGCACGCCTGTAGTTCCAGCTACTCGGAAGGCTGAGGTGGAAGGATCGCCGGAGCCCAGCAGGTTGAGGCTGCGGTGGCCAGGAACAGCCACTACACTCCAGTCTGGGTGACAGAGTGAGACTCCAACTCAAAAAGCAAGCAAACAAACAAACAAACAAAAAGACTCCCTGGACAAGTTTATCCCTACGATCTCTTCCCCTAGATGTTAGCTCCATAAAAGCCTGCATTTTCGCTGTTGCATTTCAACACATGGTACAGTGCCTCACACATAGTAAGTACATGGTATTCATAAAATGAGTTCGTGATTGATATTTGTGTTCTTCCTTTTGTTTCAGGTTATAATCATGGTGCCTTTCTATGACTGCTATGAGCCCATGGTGAGAATGGCTGGAGCAATACCTGTTTTCATTCCCCTAAGACCTGTAAGTTTGCCAGTATGGTTCATATGCCTTAAGAAGTTTTTTAAATGCCAATTACTTTGTCACTGATAAAGTTTCTACTTTGATTGCATTTGGGAATTAACTGTATATCTCTATTTGTCTAGTTGTCTTTTAAAAATAATTAATACACTAAGGTGGGTCACAGAATGTTCAATTAGAGCCGGGCTTGGTGGCTCAGCCTGTAATCCCAGCACTTTGGGAGGCTGAGGTGAGTGGATTGCCTGAGCCCACAGGTTCGAGACCCGCCTGGGCAACTTGGCAAGACCTCATCTCTACAATAGATCAAAAATCATCTGGGCGTGGTAGAGCGCACCTGTAGTTCCAGCAACTTGGAAGGCCGAGGGGGAAGGATCGCCGGAGCCCAGCAGGTCGAGGCTGCGGTGGCCGGGAGCGGCCACTGCACTCCAGTCTGGGCGACGGAGTGAGACTCCAACTCAAAAAAAAAAAAGGAATGTCCAATTAACCGTGTATTGTCAGGCATGTTAACCATAGTGATAGCTGCATCCTGTGAAGGAACATGGGCACTTTAACAGCTGGGAGTGTTGACAAGGTTCATTTTTCAGCTTAACAGGTATGAGCATAAGACTCAGGTCTCTTGGGCTCTCAAAGCAGAACTAAAGCATGATTTATTGTAGAGATGAGGTCTCACTGTCCACGCGGTTCTCGAACCCGTGGGCTCAGACAATCCACTCATCTCAGCCTCCCAAAGGCGCGGGATTACAGGCTGAGCCACCAAGCCCAGCTTATTTTTTTCTTATTGGGCTATTTATTTGTAAGACAGCAAACATGAATTAATTGAATTAAATCACATCTTTATTCTTCATGCTTAGAAACCTGTTGATGGCAAAAAATGGTCTAGTTCTGACTGGACATTAGATCCTCAAGAACTGGCAAGTAAATTTAATTCCAAAACCAAAGCTATTATGCTAAATACTCCACATAACCCCCTTGGCAAGGTAAGCAAGTCTTTTATCTCTTTATATAGTTTCTGACCTGTTGTTTTCTCACATATTGAATAATAATCGGCTGTGCTTTTTTTTTTTTTTAATATGCATAGGTGTATTCCAGAGAGGAGCTCCAAGTAATTGCTGACCTTTGCATCAAATATGACACACTCTGCATCAGTGATGAGGTTTATGAATGGCTTGTATATTCTGGAAACAAGCATTTAAAGATAGGTACTGATTATCACATAGAGTCACTAATCTAAATGTGTTTGGGCATGTGTGGAACAACCGATTGGAAAGGATCCCAGACTAGCTTTAAAATAGTCTTTGTTAAGGGTATCTGTCTGTGTGAGCACTTAAAAATAGTGTTTGAATGAATGGTACTTAAGTGAATTAATGAACAGCTTGAAGGACAAACAGTAAGAGATTGGGGGTAATACTATAAAACTCTAATATCAGCAAATTAGTTATTTTGCCTGTATCCTGGCTTCTTAACAGGAATCCAGCTATTACTTGGTCTTAAGGCAAATGGAGCTTACTTTTTCCTGTAGAGTTTCTGGACTGTCTTTACTGATTAAGTTGCCAACATGCCAAGTCAACAGGAGGAAACTGCAGGGTAGTCAGCTATTGCTGCTCAGCTCTTGGCTGAGATTTTATCATTACTGCCACACCCTCTTACACATGCCATGGTCTCTTCTGGGGTAGCCCACACCATGTCAACTACAGGATTATAAGCAGGGTGCACCCTTTGGGTCTTTGCATGTGCCCTTCCTTTGCCTGGAAACACCTTTCCCCCAAATATCCATGTATGTTTGTCCTATGCCTCATTCACTTCTGCATCCCAGTGTCAGTTTTCATGACTACCACATTTAAAATAGTTACACCTCTCCCTCCAGAATTTGCTTTGTTCTTCTTTTTCTCTTTTGTTTTCCTCTGTAGTAGGAAGCGGAATCTATAGATTTTACTTCTAAACTGAAAGAAAGTAGGGATTATTGTATGTTTGGTCTCTTCTGAATCCCCATTTTCCATATAGGGTCTTGCACATGGTAGACGATCAGAAAGTTAATGTTGAAGAAATGAATGGAAAAGATGAAAAGGATAAGGGAAGGATGACGAAAGATACTATGTCAGAAATAGATAAATTTAAAAATTAGCGCACTTATATGTAAATAGTTATTGCATTGGTGCATGTATCATAATTGTTCTTATACTACATTACAAATTGCTGTAGAGGCAGAATGAGAAAGCAACTGTTTGAGGGAATCAGAAAAAGAGGGCAAAAGATGGAATAAGCTAAGCAGTGAAATAGAAACTAAATTCCTATCCAATAATCTAGCATATTCTTAGGCAAGGAAGCATGGAAGATCAAGATATACTTAAGAAAAGTAAGTAGTTTGATTTATAAGGGTGTGCTTTAGTAACTGACACAGATCAGAGTGGAAAAGAAGGGTAATGCTAAACGACTTTGTGTATTAGAACAAAGAGTATAAACTTTGTTAAAGAAATAGGTGATTCTGAAACTTGCTTTAGTGGTAGATAACTGTGAAGCCACAATGTTCCATATCATGAAATAGCAATATTATGAATTCCATTCTAAAACTATGAGTATTTTTTCTAACAAATTCAACAATTAAAAGTCAATATGAAAATCACAACTCTATTTTTATTTGTCCATAACAAAGAGATATTGAGACTGGGCTCAGTGGCTCAGCCTGTGATCCCAGCACTTTGGGAGGCCAAGGTGAGTGAATTGCCTGAGCCAGTGGGTTTGAGACCAGCCCGGGCAACTTGGTGAGACCTCGTCTCTATAATACATCAAAAATTAGGTAGGTGTGGTAGTGCACACCTGTAGTTCCAGTTCCTTGGAAAGCTGAGGCAGAAGGATCGCTGGAGCCCAGCAGGTCGAGGCTGGGATAGCCGTGAGCATGCCATTGCACTCCAGCCTGGGCAACAGAGTGAAACTCCAACTTTAAAAAAAAAAAAAAGAAACCGGGCTCAGTGGCTCAGCCTGTAATCCCAGCGCTTTGGGAGGCTGAGGTGAAGGATTGCCTGAGCCCACAGGTTCGAGACCCGCCTGGGCAACTTGGTGAGCCCTCATCTCTGCAATAAATTTTAAAAAATTAGCAGGGTATGGTAGCACGCGCCTGTAGTTCCAGCTACTTGGAAGGCTGAGGCGGAAGGATTGCTGAAGCCCAGCAGGTCGAGGCTGCGGTGGCCGGGAGCAGCCACTGCACTCCCATCTGTGTGACAGAGTGAGACTCCAACTCAAAAAAAAAGAGCTATTGAACAAGGTACTGCAGTTCACACCTGTAATTCCAACACTTTGGGAGGTTGAGGCAAGAGTATTGACTGAGCCCAGGGATTCGAGACCAACCTGGGCAAATTAGCAAGGGCTCATCTCTACAGTAAATCAAAAAAAAATCATCCAGGCACAGTGACATGGGCCTGTAGTTTTAGCAACTTGAAAGGCTGAGGCAGAGGGATCACCTGAGCCCGGCAGGTCAAGTCTGCAGTAGCTGTGAGCACGCCACTGCACTCTAACCTGGGTGACAGAGTGAGGCTCCAACTCCCAAAAAAAAATTATTTAGTTTTTCTGATTGTGCCGTGAATGTGCTTTTACTTGATGCTTGTCTTTTTCACTGTGGAAGCATTCTTTAGTAGATAAGTGGTAGTGATTGCCAAAGGCTTAGGAAAATTATACAGAAAAAAACTTAAGATTGATTTTTTAAAATTCTAGTACATTAATTTGATCACCAGAATGCCAGTGAGCATACTTTGAGAACTCCTGCAAAAATGTGACAAAACAGGGGAGTTGATTCCATGATTGGATTTTTATTAAGGTAAGAACCAGCTGCAGAGGAAGGTCTTAAGCAAATCAGATGCCCTAGGCAGTGAAGATGGTACATGGGAACTGTTTAGAAGTAGAAACTATAGAGTGTAGAGTATGGAGTTTGAAGGTAAGAAAGGTACAAGCAAGTATGATTCTGAGATTTCTAGCCTGATCTACTCAGCAGTGAGGTCCTTATCCAGAGAAAATACAGAGAGGGGGAACAGATTTGAAGGGAAGTGTTGAGCAAAGAGAACTGTTTCTCGTGCTTTAAACTTGCTAAATTTGAGTGTACGTGAGACATAGAAGAATAGCTATCTAGAGACAGAATTACAGGCCTGCTGTCATGATGAAATTATGAGAGGATATATTTTCTGCAGTCATAATAATGTTGGTGGTAGGTCGGGCACAGTGGCTCACGCCTATAATCCCAGCACTTTGGGAGGCCAAGGTGAGAGGATTGTCTGAGCCCACAGGTTCGAGACCTGCCTAGGCAACTTGGGGAGACCTCATCTCTACAATAAATCAAAAAATTAGCAGGTGTGGTAGTGTGCCTATAGTTCCAGCTACTTGGAAGTCTGAGGCAAAAGGTGTGCTTGAGCCCAGCAGGTTGAGGCTGTGGTGACTGTGAACATGCTGCTGCACCCTAGCCTGGTTGATAGAGTGAGACTCCAACTTAAAAAAAAAAAATATTGGCAGTAGTTGGACCCATGCAAGAGAATGAATTTTCTCAGGGAGAATATCTAGAGTAAACAGAGAAGGTAACGAAGGACTTGCAGGGCATGGTACCTTAACATAGCTGTACATGTTGTATGTGTCTAACTTGCATCTGAGTTCACCACCGCCCATTTGTTGTTGACCTGTGCCTCAGGTCATTTGAATTGCTTTCCAATGGAAAATCAGATTAACATGGATAATTAATTTTTTTGTAATTAGCCCAGTTTAGCAGTAGTTGTTCCAATAGATCATATTGTAAGTGATCTTAATTTATTGTTCTGATCTACTCATTATAAGCCCTTCAGGATAGTGTATAACTGGTAACATTATTTGCTAAAGATATACAAGACATATTTTAACTCAGATATTTTTAAATGTTGAAATAGCCTATAAAGTTAAAACAAGAAAAAAATTCACGATTTCATTATTTAGAAAGTGCAGTTTGTTTGCATTAAAACTTCAGTATTCTATCAAATGCAGTGATCTTTGTTACATGAAAGATGCAAAATGGCAATTACATCAATTTGCAAAGTGCCACAGTCGTTCTTTAATATGATACAATAAGGCTTTCTAGCCATATATCATGAGATTAGCATCACCTTCATGTTGTCACCACAGCAGTTTTCCCTGGTGTAGCACTCTTCATGTCTCTAATCTTTATGCTTCTACTGAAGCCTAAGTTGCCTATGAATAACGGTTATGGCTCCTTTGGCTGAATTAAGGATTATGGACTGTAAATGAGAAGTGTAAAGACCAGTTGCCATTCAGATGTAACTGTAATCTAAACTTACAATATAATGGATGTTTTCAAAAACCATCAGTCCTGGAAAGTTTTGTTTATTTGTTTGGCCTATAAATTACCACATTCACCCACAAAGCTGTGGTCACCTTCTGCCTCTCTATTTACATTAACTTCTGTAGCTTCCCCAAGTATCCAAGATTTAAAGGATATTTTAACGTGACTTAAGGCTCTTTTTATGAAATGGTAGAATTTGTTCTTATTAGATCAGATTTTTTAACTCAAATGATGTTTCCTGGTCTGTAAATGAGATTTCAACAAAAGAAACCTCTCTTCTCCTCCATTTATGTACTAATGTACTGATATTAGTTCAAAATAGAAAAAAAGTATAACATTTATTGTAAGTTATATAACTGATCAGCTTACTCCTTGGGGAAAAAAAAGGCATCCACTTTTATGGCTAAAATAGTCATCAGCAAATTATTAAGCTCTTCTTTTAAATAGTGCTATAGTAGCTTTTATATTTGTAAATGAATCCTATGTTTGATGATGTTTTGGTTTCCCTCATAACATAGCAAAAACATGTTAGGATTGTGTTAGCTTCTCTGGGTAATTTTCATTTTCCAAGATTTGATTTCTAAATATTATTCCTGACTTTAGTTATATATCATTACTTTAAAGGAAGTGATACTCTGCATTATACATAGTTTAGATTTTCCGTGGTCAAACAGAAAAGTGGGACAGACATCATGGTGTTCTTCTGCAGTACTGCAGAAGACCAGAAATGTCTCGAAACTTGAAGGGATATAACTGTTTTATCAAATGCTGGAATATTCCCTCTTCAAGTGTACCTTCTAAAATTTTTTCATCTATCTTTTTGGTTTTTATCATATTCCATAGATAATATAATTTTTTTTTATTTATATAGTTTTTCTACTATTACAAATATTGGCAGGTAGTTCACAATAGACAAATTACTTTTGCATCGTTTTGGGAATTTCCTTAGCTACTTTACATCTTAGTAAACACTGTATCCACTTATGAGCAGATTACTTCAGGAAAGCAGAATCTTAGATTTCCAGAATGAGCATTGATTTTTCCCTTTGAGTGTACAAATACTCTCTTAGAACAATGCAAAACTCTCTTAGAACAATGCAAAACAATGCAAAAACCTCCACTTGTACCTCTAAAAGAACAAGTGGAAAAACTAGTGAACTGCATGTGAAGAACTTCATGACTACTTGAGCAATCCAAAAAGTGGTGTGGTTAAGTGGAATTCTCAGAAGATTCACAGAATAGTAATTTATCAGTTATTACCAATGCCCACCAAAATTGACAAGCTCTTGCATTTAATACCTCTAGTCCTTTGGTACCTGCATTCTCTTAACCCAAAATAGCTTTCCTCCCCTTCTCTGCTTGGCTAAGGCCTATGTGGTATTCCAAGTCTCAGCTCAAACATTACTGGCTGCAGAAAGCTACCCCAACTCTTCTCCTATCCTTACATCACCCTCTATACATGCTGCTATTATAGCTTTTATCACACTATATTACCATTGTTATTTTATGTGTCTCATGTCCCCACTAGACATTAAGCTTTTTTTATTTTCCTTGAGTTGGAATTGCCCAGGCTAATGCAGTAGCACAATTTTGGCTACCACAACCTCAGGCTCAGGCAATCCTTTGGCCTCAGCCTCTCCAAATAGCTGGGACTACAGGCACACACCACTACACCCATCTAGTTTTTTCATTTATTGTAGAGACTAGGTCTCACCATGTTGCCCAGGCACGCCTCAAACTCCTGAGTTCAGGTAATTCTCTCACCTCTGCCTCCCAAAGTTTTGGGATTACAGGCATGCAATCTGACTGACATTAAGCCCTTTGAGGATAAGAACTGTGTCTTACTTATCTTTATTCCCTGGTACCTGGTAGTTGCTAAGAAATATTTGCTGGGCAAATGAATGAATAACTTTATTAAAGATGCAAATCAGCTTGAAAACCATTATACAATCAGTTCTCAATATTCATGAATTATCTATTTATGAATCTGCCTACTTCCTAAAATATATTTATAACCCCAAAATCAATAATCATGACACTTCATTTGAAGAGAGATGAAAAATTTGAGTCACCCTACACATACATTTTCAGTTGAGATCAAACAAGGTAACACTCTACCTCTTATCTCAGCTCACATTATAAGCAAATGCTCTTTTCACAGTGATTTTGCTGTTTAAAATAGCCCCCACGCCTGGTGCTGAAGTACTGTCTAGTGTTCCCAGATGCAAGAAGACTGTGATGTGTCTTATGGAGAAAGTGCATGTGTTTGATAAGCTTCCTTCAGGCAAGATCTAGTGCTGTTGGCCATAAGGATATTAAAGGGTGGTAGCTAAAATTTACAGAGCTTCTTTTGGGGTGGAAAAAAATGTTCCAAAATTGATAATGGTGATAGTTGCACAAATCTGTGGATATACTAAAAATCATTGAACTATATACTTTAAATCAGTAAATTGTGGGATTGACATCTGAATACGGTTTTTAGCAAAACACACACAGAGAGAGAGAGAGAGAGAGAGAGAGAGAGAGCGAGAGCGAGAGCGAGAGATAGAGATAGATATACTTGTCCCTGCCCCCAGTTTCCGATTCAGCAGGTCTGGGATGAGGCCTGGAGATTTGCCTTTCTTACAAGTTCCCCAGTGATGCTGATATTGCTGGTGTGGGACCACATTTTAGGAACCATTGTTCTCAGAAGCCTGGGAAATATAACCTCAGAAAATGGGCAGAATAAAGGAGGCTACACAATAGTACCACAACCAAAGCTATGGGATTTTTATGATGAACATTCAGCTACTACTAACACCAAACACTAGATGTCACAGATTGTGTGACAACTGCCATTTGAGGCAGCCTGGAACACTGCCTGCTGGTACCACTGACACTCCTGCCCCAGAAATTATTTTGCTACTTAGTTATTAAATATACTTATATGTTCTCTTGGTGCAACAGTACAGTGTTGCGATATTTTCCACTGTGTTTTGGGTTAGAGTTCCATGATATTTTTTTTTTTGAGTTGGAATCTCACTCTGTCGCCCAGACTGGAGTGCAGTGGCCGCTCCCGGCTACCGCAGCCTCGACCTACTGGGCTCCGGCAATTCTTCTGCCTCAGCCTTCCAAGTAGCTGGAACTACAGGCGCGCGCTACCACGCCTGGCTAATTTTTGATTTATTGTAGAGATGAGGTCTCGCCAAGTTACATGATATTTTAAACACCTATTGAAATAACTATACTCTAGTGCAACCTCTGTGGAAAGCAGTGTGGCGATTCCTAAAAGCTCTAAATATCGACCTCCCATATGACCCTGCAATCCCCCTACTGGGAATATACCCTGAAGAACTCAAATCACTCTATCAAAAAGATACCTGCACACAAATGCTTATCACAGCATTGTTCACAATAGCAAGAACCTGGAACCAACCATGCTGTCCATCAAAAGAGGACTGGATTTTAAAAATGTGGTACATACACACAATGGAATACTACACAGCCATAACAAAGAACAAAATTATGAATTTTGCAGCAACCTGGATGGAGCTAGAGTCTGTAATACTGAGTGATCTCTCACAGAAACAAAGATCTGAAGCCGGGCTCCGTGGCTCAGCCTGTAAATCCTGCGCCTTTGGGAGGCTGAGGTGAGTGGATTGCCTGAGCCTGCGGGTTCGAGACCCGCCTGGGCAGGGAGACCTCATCTCTACAATAAATCAAAAATCAGCTAGGTGTGGTAGTGCATGCCTGTAATTCCGGCACTTGGAAGGCTGAGGCAGAAGGATCACTGGAACCCAGCAGGTCGAGGCTGC